TTGAGACATTACATACAGTAGAATTGTAGATTTGACAACATTTTAAAGCATATTCCACCACAGGACAGTTTAATATGAACTAGTGAATTAAAACGTTATTTAAATGTGGCCAGTCAAAGGCATTAAGTTATACACTTCCTTAAATCTTTACATATTTATGCAAATATTAACCTAAAATCTTGATGTTAATTAAACAAAAATAATGAATTAATCTGTGAATCTGTGAATCAATGAAGGAGTTGCATATACCTGTCAGTGTCAGCAGCATGACAGTTTTAATTGATCCATGACATAAGAAAAAACAACATAAGATTGACTATACTGGATTGGGAATCCATCTTCGGATAAAGTGACTTCAGGAGAAATCTTCGGCCAGCTGTTCACATCATCACCATTGCGCCCCCAAGTGCTGACCCAGTTCTGTGTTAGTTACACAATGCCAGTCGCCTTGAGAGATGCTCAGTCAAACTCAGCAAATTGTATTGCCGTCCTTGCAGCTGTGTGATGATAATGAATGAATGAATGCATGCATGCGTGACTCAGAGGACATAATGTGTTTAATTAAAGAAGCATCATTAGAGATTTTAGGGCATGATGCTTTCAAGCAGGGCAGCATGTGACCTCCGTCCAAATCCAGTCACCTTAAGAAAGTATATAACTTCATCATCAGGAACATTATGTGCAATATTCATCTAAAGTCTAAGTATGTCAGCCTAGTCTGACTATGGATATTTCTATGAACATATAGATTGTGGATATGGATGTGTGAATTGGGATTCAAGTTTTATTGTCTGCGTTAATTTGACTGATAATCAGTGTGGTGCTAGTACCGGTAATTCTATTCTATCCTTTATCATTTCTGTTCCCTAGAATAATTGTAGAAATTCTGATATTTGTGGTTGCACCTTTTATTATGTTTAACTTTTACCCACATTTTTAATGGTATTGCAATGTTATCTTTGCAGAATGTCATTATTTTTGCATGTCCTTTTCTAGATTTTTAACTTTCCTTATAAAACAGATTAAAAGAAAATCTACCTTTTTCAAATCATTTGTTTTAAAACTAATGTTTAAATAACACAGAACCGCAGTTCCCAATACTACTGTCATCACAAGTGTTTTCTAAGTAAGATTTCTAAGTCTTTTAGAAAGGCATTTTTAAATTACAATCTAAAAGCTTTATTAGGTCTCATGATCTTGATTTTTTTTTTTTTCATCAAATTGTTAATGATATACAAATTTTTTCACACAGTATCAAAAATCCACTTAAGGGTTGACTAAAGCCATGTTCTTTTTTCCAGGACATGCAATAATATATTCTTTAGCATGGGGTTTTATGACAGAATATCTTTGCTCTTTTCCTGTAGCTGCGCTCTATCGAGGATCTGCAGACCGTTCAGACAATTAAGATTCTGCGATATGAGAAGAAAGTGGCGGTGATGTTCCTAATGATGATCTCGTGTTTCCTGGTGTGCTGGACACCCTATGCTGTGGTCTCCATGCTGGAGGCTTTTGGCAGGAAGAGTTTCGTCTCCCCCACAGTTGCCATCATTCCCTCTCTCTTCGCCAAATCCAGCACTGCCTACAACCCTGTCATCTACGCCTTCATGAGCAGAAAGGTCAGCAGAGGTCACTTAATTCTGATGGAGGGGCATTTATTATAGTATATTATATAGTCAGGTCTGGTGATCCTCACAGATACAAACTTTACAAGTCAACATACAGTGTTTCTGTGAACTGTCAAATTCTATAAGAGATAACCTTTGATATTTTAAATAAATGTAGTACAAGAAAATAAATAAATATTGCTTTAAATAATAATTTGATACAATTTTATACTACATTTAACAGCATTTTATCTGTATTATTCCATGAATTTTGGAGTAGAATGATTTTTTAATGAAGAAAATGCAAATAAGTTGTAAACTGTGACATGAAAATCTTTACTATATTCAAATTATTCATTTTTTTCTATTGTGTAATATTAAAGGAATATTCGATGTTTTTCATCATTGATAATTTCATTTAGTATTTTAATTTATGAAATGTGGAATTGCTCAGACAGTGTCTCATACAAAAAGTAAAACTGAATTAATAAAGTTGTCAGCAGAATGTACACTGTAAATAATATTTTGTAAATAAAGATTATTTCACTAATTCAAAATTCCCTATTTAATTCAGTGTTACTTGCTGTTTCTTTGTAATTATTTGTGAAATTTACTAGCAATTTCTTGGCAAATTAGTATTAAAAGTAAATCCTAAACCAATTTCTTTTAAGTGCATTTCACAGGTGCTTAAATTTAGTTTATAGTCTTGTAGTTTCACTTAATTGTCAGCGTTTATCTACAATAAAAAAAAAAGTTGGTATAGAAATTGTATTCATAAATTGCTGGTAAATTTCACTAGAAATTGTATTCATAAATGGTTAATTTCACAAATAATTACAAAGAAAATGCAAGCAACACTTTTTGAAGTAGAAAAACTGATAGTATTTTATTGTGAAATGTATTTTAATAATCTTTATATATATATATATATATGTGTGTGTGTGTGTGTGTGTGTGTGTGTGTGTATTTATATGAAGCTTACTTCTCCTTTTTTGATTGGTCAGTTTCGCAGGTGCATGTTACAGATGCTGTGTTCTCGTCTGGCCACTCTGCAGCACAGCATTAAGGACCGTCCCCTCGCCCGCATCGAACGTCCTGTACGCCCTATTGTGATGTCACATAGCCGTCCTGACCGACCCAAAAAGAGAGTGACCTTCAACTCTTCCTCCATCGTATTCATCATCGCAAGCAATGACACTCATCCTCTGGATATTACCTCCAAATTCAATGACGAACCAGACACCAATGTAATTCAAGTTCGACCGCTTTGACACTTGCCACTTGTGACATTGAAGAACGACGGTGGAGTTCATTAACATCACACTAATTTAATGTTTATAATAAGGATACAGAAACATCTTTTTTTATACATGAATATGGAAAATATGGATTTTTTTGAATTGTTGCAGCAGTAATGCAACATAAACTGACTTTCTTTGTGTTCCCAATCAAGATTTGTGTGAATTGTCAACTGTAACTGCTGTAAGTATTTCATGGAAATGACTTGGAGTTGTTTTTGATCAATTGTGTTCCTTCTCCATCTTTTCGGACACTGAAACTTCCAGCTTCACCCATGCAGTTTCATGGGATGGTGAGATATCCACAGCTTAGATTGCTCAGTCCGTGAGTAGAATACATTAGTGAGTGTGCTCAGATAGATCAGCAGCACAGTGTTAGTACAAGGACTCTTCTAGAACGGGACATTTGTCAAAGGCTGCAGCACCTTGTACATAAAGTCAGTCAGGTCCACAGCGCTCCCTGGAGGAAGCAAAGTGTGTGTCCTATTTGAAAAACAAGCCAAACATCACTATTTCTACTGCTCAGTATTTAGATTAGGGCATTGAACAAACCCCTAAATATTAAACTTTGGTGTGTTTACCTCAAATTGCGTTGCTTCTTGAGAAGAGCTGTGTTTACCCTTTTCTATTATAGAGAATATACTTAAGATTTGCAGGGGTGTAGATCTTGTGTTCTGCAGTGAGTGTAGGTAAGGTTTGATTTTGCCATTGGTGGGGACATAACGCAGACAACAGACATTTAATTGTTTGATCAAAATGATTGCTACAATTGAGTAGTCGCTGGATATTAGCAGGGACATTTCATAGAGTCCCTATAAATTCTACGCTCTTGAAAATCAAAGGAATCAAAGGAAACATTATGCATGAATAATCGGCATTATGCAGCATTATGATCTAGTTATATTAACTAAATAAATTGACCACTGCAGTTCAGTTGGTGACAGTTCAATTGGAAATCAGTTGAAAGCATCCAATCATCTCATTGAAGTGAATGCAAAATTTATCAGTATCCTATATTATAATCAATATTTGAGGAATTATTGTTATATCTGATATTAGCCTACAGGGATGGACAGAATTTTAGGCTACATGTATTTAAAATACGTAGCCTATTTGAAAGTGAAAATCTTTCACCCTCATGTTATATTGTTGATTGCGTGGATTAAAATAAATTTAAATAGGCCAACTGGATTTCGTCTGCGAAAATTCGCCGAAAACAGTAAATGTGACAGCACCCGATGTAATTTTTCATGTCTGAAAAACAGAAAAATGAAAACAGTTTTTTAAACCTTAAGTATACAAATCATATACTGAATAATTACTAAAAACATAAGCTGAAAAGCAGTAGTTGCATCAAAACAAGTGGTGGTTTTAAAGAAATAGTTTGTTTATAATTTTATGAAAGGGATTTATAATACAAAAAAGACATGCTGACTTATGTTCGAAAATGGCAATTGAATGACGGACTGCCTGCTTGAGTGGGCAGAGAGCAGGTTATCTCATTCATGGATTATGCCTTCCGGAGGATTTGTGGGTTAAACGTGAACGAGGATTAATGTGAGTTTTTACATGACAGGGAAATACCATCAGGAGGATTTAACATTTCTCCCACCCTAAAACTAGAGTACGACAATGTTTTTGTTGCACTAAAAGTGAGATACATAGACCCACAAAGCAGAAGAGTTCAAGCATTCTGTGAACAAGATTTTATTCAGTCACATTTAACTTATTTTGAATCTACAACAGACAGTGATCAGCTTGACTTTTTTAAATAATTAAAAACAAAGAAATTATATCTATGTGCTTAGAGATCACAGCACCCACATGATGTTCATTAACATCACACTAATTTAATGTTTATAATAAGGATACAGAAACATCTTTTTTTATACATGAATATGGAAAATATGGATTTTTTTGAATTGTTGCAGCAGTAATGCAACATAAACTGACTTTCTTTGTGTTCCCAATCAAGATTTGTGTGAATTGTCAACTGTAACTGCTGTAAGTATTTCATGGAAATGACTTGGAGTTGTTTTTGATCAATTGTGTTCCTTCTCCATCTTTTCGGACACTGAAACTTCCAGCTTCACCCATGCAGTTTCATGGGATGGTGAGATATCCACAGCTTAGATTGCTCAGTCCGTGAGTAGAATACATTAGTGAGTGTGCTCAGATAGATCAGCAGCACAGTGTTAGTACAAGGACTCTTCTAGAACGGGACATTTGTCAAAGGCTGCAGCACCTTGTACATAAAGTCAGTCAGGTCCACAGCGCTCCCTGGAGGAAGCAAAGTGTGTGTCCTATTTGAAAAACAAGCCAAACATCACTATTTCTACTGCTCAGTATTTAGATTAGGGCATTGAACAAACCCCTAAATATTAAACTTTGGTGTGTTTACCTCAAATTGCGTTGCTTCTTGAGAAGAGCTGTGTTTACCCTTTTCTATTATAGAGAATATACTTAAGATTTGCAGGGGTGTAGATCTTGTGTTCTGCAGTGAGTGTAGGTAAGGTTTGATTTTGCCATTGGTGGGGACATAACGCAGACAACAGACATTTAATTGTTTGATCAAAATGATTGCTACAATTGAGTAGTCGCTGGATATTAGCAGGGACATTTCATAGAGTCCCTATAAATTCTACGCTCTTGAAAATCAAAGGAATCAAAGGAAACATTATGCATGAATAATCGGCATTATGCAGCATTATGATCTAGTTATATTAACTAAATAAATTGACCACTGCAGTTCAGTTGGTGACAGTTCAATTGGAAATCAGTTGAAAGCATCCAATCATCTCATTGAAGTGAATGCAAAATTTATCAGTATCCTATATTATAATCAATATTTGAGGAATTATTGTTATATCTGATATTAGCCTACAGGGATGGACAGAATTTTAGGCTACATGTATTTAAAATACGTAGCCTATTTGAAAGTGAAAATCTTTCACCCTCATGTTATATTGTTGATTGCGTGGATTAAAATAAATTTAAATAGGCCAACTGGATTTCGTCTGCGAAAATTCGCCGAAAACAGTAAATGTGACAGCACCTATGGGATCAGAATCCCATAAGCACCCGATGTAATTTTTCATGTCTGAAAAACAGAAAAATGAAAACAGTTTTTTAAACCTTAAGTATACAAATCATATACTGAATAATGACTAAAAACATAAGCTGAAAAGCAGTAGTTGCATCAAAACAAGTGGTGGTTTTAAAGAAATAGTTTGTGTTTATAATTTTATGAAAGGGATTTATAATACAAAAAAGACATGCTGACTTATGTTCGAAAATGGCAATTGAATGACGCACTGCCTGCTTGAGTGGGCAGAGAGCAGGTTATCTCATTCATGGATTATGCCTTCCGGAGGATTTGTGGGTTAAACGTGAACGAGGATTAATGTGAGTTTTTACATGACATCTTCGCCAAATCCAGCACTGCCTACAACCCTGTCATCTACGCCTTCATGAGCAGAAAGGTCAGCAGAGGTCACTTAATTCTGATGGAGGGGCATTTATTATAGTATATTATATAGTCAGGTCTGGTGATCCTCACAGATACAAACTTTACAAGTCAACATACAGTGTTTCTGTGAACTGTCAAATTCTATAAGAGATAACCTTTGATATTTTAAATAAATGTAGTACAAGAAAATAAATAAATATTGCTTTAAATAATAATTTGATACAATTTTATACTACATTTAACAGCATTTTATCTGTATTATTCCATGAATTTTGGAGTAGAATGATTTTTTAATGAAGAAAATGCAAATAAGTTGTAAACTGTGACATGAAAATCTTTACTATATTCAAATTATTCATTTTTTTCTATTGTGTAATATTAAAGGAATATTCGATGTTTTTCATCATTGATAATTTCATTTAGTATTTTAATTTATGAAATGTGGAATTGCTCAGACAGTGTCTCATACAAAAAGTAAAACTGAATTAATAAAGTTGTCAGCAGAATGTACACTGTAAATAATATTTTGTAAATAAAGATTATTTCACTAATTCAAAATTCCCTATTTAATTCAGTGTTACTTGCTGTTTCTTTGTAATTATTTGTGAAATTTACTAGCAATTTCTTGGCAAATTAGTATTAAAAGTAAATCCTAAACCAATTTCTTTTAAGTGCATTTCACAGGTGCTTAAATTTAGTTTATAGTCTTGTAGTTTCACTTAATTGTCAGCGTTTATCTACAATAAAAAAAAAAGTTGGTATAGAAATTGTATTCATAAATTGCTGGTAAATTTCACTAGAAATTGTATTCATAAATGGTTAATTTCACAAATAATTACAAAGAAAATGCAAGCAACACTTTTTGAAGTAGAAAAACTGATAGTATTTTATTGTGAAATGTATTTTAATAATCTTTATATATATATATATATATGTGTGTGTGTGTGTGTGTGTGTGTGTGTGTGTATTTATATGAAGCTTACTTCTCCTTTTTTGATTGGTCAGTTTCGCAGGTGCATGTTACAGATGCTGTGTTCTCGTCTGGCCACTCTGCAGCACAGCATTAAGGACCGTCCCCTCGCCCGCATCGAACGTCCTGTACGCCCTATTGTGATGTCACATAGCCGTCCTGACCGACCCAAAAAGAGAGTGACCTTCAACTCTTCCTCCATCGTATTCATCATCGCAAGCAATGACACTCATCCTCTGGATATTACCTCCAAATTCAATGACGAACCAGACACCAATGTAATTCAAGTTCGACCGCTTTGACACTTGCCACTTGTGACATTGAAGAACGACGGTGGAGTTCATTAACATCACACTAATTTAATGTTTATAATAAGGATACAGAAACATCTTTTTTTATACATGAATATGGAAAATATGGATTTTTTTGAATTGTTGCAGCAGTAATGCAACATAAACTGACTTTCTTTGTGTTCCCAATCAAGATTTGTGTGAATTGTCAACTGTAACTGCTGTAAGTATTTCATGGAAATGACTTGGAGTTGTTTTTGATCAATTGTGTTCCTTCTCCATCTTTTCGGACACTGAAACTTCCAGCTTCACCCATGCAGTTTCATGGGATGGTGAGATATCCACAGCTTAGATTGCTCAGTCCGTGAGTAGAATACATTAGTGAGTGTGCTCAGATAGATCAGCAGCACAGTGTTAGTACAAGGACTCTTCTAGAACGGGACATTTGTCAAAGGCTGCAGCACCTTGTACATAAAGTCAGTCAGGTCCACAGCGCTCCCTGGAGGAAGCAAAGTGTGTGTCCTATTTGAAAAACAAGCCAAACATCACTATTTCTACTGCTCAGTATTTAGATTAGGGCATTGAACAAACCCCTAAATATTAAACTTTGGTGTGTTTACCTCAAATTGCGTTGCTTCTTGAGAAGAGCTGTGTTTACCCTTTTCTATTATAGAGAATATACTTAAGATTTGCAGGGGTGTAGATCTTGTGTTCTGCAGTGAGTGTAGGTAAGGTTTGATTTTGCCATTGGTGGGGACATAACGCAGACAACAGACATTTAATTGTTTGATCAAAATGATTGCTACAATTGAGTAGTCGCTGGATATTAGCAGGGACATTTCATAGAGTCCCTATAAATTCTACGCTCTTGAAAATCAAAGGAATCAAAGGAAACATTATGCATGAATAATCGGCATTATGCAGCATTATGATCTAGTTATATTAACTAAATAAATTGACCACTGCAGTTCAGTTGGTGACAGTTCAATTGGAAATCAGTTGAAAGCATCCAATCATCTCATTGAAGTGAATGCAAAATTTATCAGTATCCTATATTATAATCAATATTTGAGGAATTATTGTTATATCTGATATTAGCCTACAGGGATGGACAGAATTTTAGGCTACATGTATTTAAAATACGTAGCCTATTTGAAAGTGAAAATCTTTCACCCTCATGTTATATTGTTGATTGCGTGGATTAAAATAAATTTAAATAGGCCAACTGGATTTCGTCTGCGAAAATTCGCCGAAAACAGTAAATGTGACAGCACCTATGGGATCAGAATCCCATAAGCACCCGATGTAATTTTTCATGTCTGAAAAACAGAAAAATGAAAACAGTTTTTTAAACCTTAAGTATACAAATCATATACTGAATAATGACTAAAAACATAAGCTGAAAAGCAGTAGTTGCATCAAAACAAGTGGTGGTTTTAAAGAAATAGTTTGTGTTTATAATTTTATGAAAGGGATTTATAATACAAAAAAGACATGCTGACTTATGTTCGAAAATGGCAATTGAATGACGCACTGCCTGCTTGAGTGGGCAGAGAGCAGGTTATCTCATTCATGGATTATGCCTTCCGGAGGATTTGTGGGTTAAACGTGAACGAGGATTAATGTGAGTTTTTACATGACAGGGAAATACCATCAGGAGGATTTAACATTTCTCCCACCCTAAAACTAGAGTACGACAATGTTTTTGTTGCACTAAAAGTGAGATACATAGACCCACAAAGCAGAAGAGTTCAAGCATTCTGTGAACAAGATTTTATTCAGTCACATTTAACTTATTTTGAATCTACAACAGACAGTGATCAGCTTGACTTTTTTAAATAATTAAAAACAAAGAAATTATATCTATGTGCTTAGAGATCACAGCACCCACATGATGTGATCTACATGATATATAAAGTAAAAGCAAACCTGAATTAAAACTGAAACAGAATTATACATCCATTACAACAATTTCAAGGTCATGGTGACAGTAATCACAGAAAATATAGAATAATCTCCATTTAAAATGGAAGTACACGGGACCAGGAACTAAACATTAACATGTATAAATGTTTAAGAGAAGTATTCAACCTTCCAAAAATACAATATAGACAACTTTTAGAACTCAAACACTAAATGTTTTTACAGAATTATTCATGCAAGTCAGCATTCCTGTTGCTCAAGTGGCATGGTGCTTCCCAGGGAATGCTTGAGCTGGTCAAATCTACACCTTGAATGCAATGCAAGTCACTTTGCATTTAAGCATCTATTGATGAGAAGATAAGTGCTTTAACAATCATACCAGCTACATTTCTGCTTTAAACCATCTGGAATGCTGGCCCATTATACCCCCATTTTAAGTGCACTACATTGACAAACAACTCAAAATGATTTTCTGTGGTAATCAACATCATAACACAAAATGCAGAGCATTTTTTGTTTAACTTGTATTGAACAAGACTTCAATTCTGGTCCAGTACAGAGCCATGGAAGATCTTTTGGGAGTTGTTCCTTTGACGTGATAAGGCTACTAAACATCAACACAGGGTTTAGAAGTGCTTTAAGGCAAGTATACGGGTCCACAGGTGGTCTGCAGAGATTCTGGGGAGTTTGTGAGAGTATCTGACCAAGACATACATCCCTCCTGCAGCAGATACAGCTCCACACAGCCACAGACCTTGAGTGATCACCTGCAAAAGACCAGCAAGACGATTAGTTATTTTACTATACCGTGAAAAATTTTAAGAACTTTTTTAATCCAAGTTTTAAGTGAACCATGTAGGCTAATAATGACCTGTTGTGAAGGACAATTTCCATTCAGTTTGGACGTTTATTATTAAATGAAAAGCACTATGATTATATGAAACTACATTAAAAAGTGTAGTCGATGAAAAAAAAAAAGTAATTTGGCTTTTACAATTATAGGCTACACTACAGTTCAATTTTTTTTTGACAGTAAAGATACAATGAAATCAAAAAATCTATTGCAAATAAATGCTGCTATTTTGAACTTTCTATTTATTAAATAATCCTAAAAATGAATCATGGTTCCCACAAAAAAATGAAACAGCACAACTGGTTTTTAAAAAAAAAATTAAATAATATTTATATAATAAGAAACGCTTCTTAAGCAGCAAATCAATGGTTTCTAAAGGATCATGTGACACTTGAGACTGGAGTAATGATGCTGAAAATTCAGCTGTGCATCAAAGAAATAAATTACATTTTTAAATATATTAAAATTGAAAAGGTTTCATGATAATATTTCACAATATTGCTGTTTTTACAGACTTTTTATCAAATAAATGCAGCCATGGTGAGCAAAAATTCTAAATCAGATATTTAGAATCACAAATTACTTGTGTTTCACGCACAAAAGAATAGTCTAATCTAGTGCATTGCATTGTGGAATATAGTATGCCGCTAAAGCATACATTTCAGCAAAAAAAAAAAAGTCCAAACGTTTATCAGCTCATTGGTTTCAGTGCTAGAAACACACTTTGATTAGATCCTGTACTGCAGCATGACATTTTGGAGTTTATAAATCAATAAAAATCACTCTAAAAACACAACTAAACTTATTTTTCTACCATCAGTCTATTATGTGCTATTATGAACATAACACTTATGGATCTTCACTTGAACTAATGTTTTGTTGATAGCTCAGAATGGAAGAGCTGTTTTAAAACACTTGAATTTACACTGACACTGGTCATTTGTCAGCCAAACGTTTGTCGCTTTCAAACACAGGATTGGTCTTCACCTTATTTTGCCAATGCCATCGCTTCACAGCTTCATGGTACCGTGTTCTGGTGAATGTGACCTAAGAGGCAAGTAATCCAGCATACAAATTAGTGAACTAACCACCAACAAAAAAACAAGATGATACAGAACACAGAAAGGCTCTTACCATTGTGTAAAGTGGGACGATTGTTTTTGGCAAGATGAAGTGAAGGAAACCGTCCAGGTATTTTCGAAACAGGAAATATCTGGAATTGACGTGTGCTCTCATCTGCGACACAGATCACATCATGAGCGAAGCTAACAGCAGCATTTAACACTCTAGCTCTTGGTCTGGCCTAAACCTCTTGAAAACAAATGTGTGTGTCTGTATCTTCACCCTGCCATCAGTAATGAGGTTGACCTGTGTCACATGCGATCAACTGGACAGACTCATTACTACTACTGTGTGAGTTTGTGTTTGTTCTGTAATGTATGCGTGTATACTACTTAATGAACAGAAAAACCCATGACCTTGACGTTGCTAGCTCTAAGAGGCGCTACAGGAATATACTATATCCTCTATTCATTTATCTTTAGTTTGAATGTATTATCATCCATCCATCAGGATTCATCTTTATCATTTATACATCCTCAAAGAAACAAAAGCCATCTGCTCTCTAATTGCGCTTGCGGTACTTTGATCGGTATGTGCAGCGCCGCTTCAAGTCGAACACAACTATTGTCAAATGAATGCAATGGAAGTCATGTGACAGCAGATGCAGTATTGCAGCAGACATTGAGTTGATGGCCTACTGTACCTCTACATAGTTGTACATGGCCAGGTCAGCTATGGCGTGATCGTCAGGTACACGGACTCTGGTGTATTCTTCAAGCACAGCAGCTGCAGGCAAAGCATATTCAAAAATTATTCATTTCATTTGTGAACAAATATTTGGCATCTCTTAGATCTCGCTTAGATTTGATTAAACAGTACTGCTAATTACTGATGTTACTCTGGGATGAAATGTTCCAAACAAGTACATGATTTATTTATTTAAAATTATACGTTTTATTGTGTTTATTTTATAAATAATAATAAGATTAAAATAAATGTATACAATTATTTTCAATTAACATGTTTTGTTTTTATAATTATAATTTAATTAATAAATTCCTTCCATCTCAGAAATACTGTGAACTTGAATTTTCTTGGGTTTCTGTCTTACCAAGGTTTTCATTCAGCTGGTTCATAACCTCGTCAAAAACTAAACAATCCTCAAAGCCCTGTGAACCAAAATAAAAAAATGACACATTTATTGGTTATTAATTTTCTTACACTTGTGCTGAACAACATTTCGATCTGCAAGACCATCAATGACTACATTTACAAGCACCCAATTTTTTAAATAAGATCCATATCAGGGTTAGTATAGTTAACTAAAAATTATATATATATATGTATGTGTGTGTGTGTGTGTGTGTGTGTGTGTGTGTGTGTGTGTGTGTGTGTGTGTGTGTGTGTGTGTGTGTGTGTGTGTCACGCGCGCACAGAACACCT